AAGGTTACGAGCAGGGTTGGGTTTTTGTTGTGTGTTTTTGGTGGGGTCTGCCCCCCCCCCCCCCCCCCCCCCCTTTCGAGAGTTCTGGAAAGTGATGTTAACCGAAAAATTAACTTTGAACGGCCTAAATAATTCTCAGTGACTATATAGCAAAATTCGATAAATTTATTTTTTATTCAGATTTAATCATGTTTTCACCGAGAAATCTTAGTTAAGTTAAAAAGAAATTTATTCTTGGACTCGAAATTTTTTTTAAGCTTTAAACTGAAATTTCTGATGAAGACATGATCAAATTTGATGAATTTTTTTATTTTAAAAAATTATCAATTTGGATATCTAGTTACTGAGAAATATTTATGTAGTGTTTAAAAAAAATTTTGCCGCGGCTTTTTTTTTATGGATACTAAAATTTAAGCAAGGTTTTTCGGTGAATATCTAACCAATTTCTATGAATTTTTTCTTATTTTATTTTAATTTTGTATCTCTATAATTAAAATAAAGAAAATTTCCCCGAATTTGGTTTGATATTCACCAAGAAAACTTTGCTTAAAGTTTTTGTGCCTAAAGAAGCTGCGGCAAATTTTTTTTTTAAACAATAAATAAATATTTCTTGGCAACTACATAACCAAGTTTGATAACTTTTTTTTTTTTTTTTGATTCTACAAACACGTAGAATTAAAATAAAAAAAATTCATCAAATTTGGTCAGATCATCGTTGAGAAATCTTCGTTAAAGTAAAAATTTTTAACCTTTTTTCAAACTTTAAATGAAGTTTTCTCAATGATTATCTATCTAAATTCGATAAAAAAAATTTTATTTTAATTCTATTAACTTATAGAATTAAAATAAAAAAATTTGCTGAATTTAGTTAAGTATTCACGAGAAATATTGGCTTAAAGTTTTAAAAAACCTCTATATTTTAAAATTTTGGGGAACCTCCTGTAAAAAATGTAGTATACTTTTAAATTATGCAATACGGTATCATACATAATCAAGTTAATATTTGTGTTACGTTAATGATTTTCACTACATTAGACACCCCAACGGTGCACCATATTCGATATAACAGAATTCAAAAAAAAATTTTTTTGTTAGGTCATTGTCTGTAAAGGTTTATGCTGTCCTGCACTGTATGAGATTAACTAGGTTAGTAGATATCGGCCAACAAGCAACCTAAATTAGATGCATTCACGAGATATTCAACCTTGATTACTTGATACAGTGTTCGCGATGGAGTGAATTTGGGCATTTAAAATTTGTATGCCCATTTAGTGTCCAAAATATAAAACCACTGAATATAACCGTCATCAAAGCCAGGGCCGATGTTTTTCCGCAGTGATATTTATTTATAGATAAATATCCCAGAACATCTTCAGCCCTGATCAAAGTCAAATTTTATACGTACGTACGTACGTAATGCGTTTACCTGTGGTTTATCTCGTTCGTCACGGTATTTATAAACCAATTTAAATTACGAAATTATATTTTTATCTGTTCTTTCTGTTATTCTTACCTTTTTAAAATTATATATAGGTGAGACTGAATGGTCCAAAAGTGGTCAACATACTTCTACTACCGAAGTAGAGTTAACTGAAAATGGTGTAAAACAAGCCCAAGACCTTTCACGTTTTGTATTTGAAAACCAATGTCAAGGTAAATTATTTTTAAATCAGAAATTTTTTTTAACTATTACGTATTAACAGTTATCTTTAATATTGTAAAGACTTTATCGAACCTAAAAATATCACTCAAATTTATGTATCACCCCGTAAAAGAGCCCAACAAACTCTTAGTTTAATTAACTTACCCGAAAAAGAAAAAATTCCTGTATTTACAGAACCGAATATTTCTGAATGGAGTTATGGTGATTATGAAGGAATTACAGCTCACGAAATTCGTAGCACTAAATTTGCTTTTTGGGATATTTGGCAAGTAATTCGTATAAGCATTCAGGCTTTCCTTACTGTTTAATTAATGCAATTGATGTTTCCGTTTAATAGGAGAGATGGCTGTCCTAATGGTGAAACAATTCAACAAGTAGCCACTAGATGCGATCATGTAACTGCGAAAATTATGGCCTATCAAACTGATGTATTTTATCACCTTATTTATTGTATTATATCTTTATTATAATTTTAATTTAATGCGTAATTTAATTAATTACGATAAGCATATGGATAATAATCCAAATTCGCCTGGAGGTGATGTTTTGGTGGTAGCTCATTCCCATTTACTTAGAATTCTTGCTTGTAGATGGTTGAACCTTCCTCCTGAACATGGAAGACATTTTCTTATTGATACCGCAGTTAAGATTTATTTTATTTTATTTTTTCTTTAACTTTTGAATGATCACGATTAATCTTATTCTCAATTATAAAGGGTTTATGCGTTTTGGGTTATAACCGATCTATGAAGTCTCCAGCAATTAAGTCTTGGAATGTCACCAGTCATTTGTTTTACCGAGATATCTCTTAAATATTATAAACATACTGCGCCCTATTTTGATATCACAGTACCCGTTCAATTATAGTTCGGGTCCCTCCCTGATTTGCTATTTCATTACGTAGTCTCGATTATCATCATCGTTATCGTTAAATTTATTACCGTATTAAATTAAATTAACGAAATGTATACCGCAAGATTTTATTTTAATTTTATTTGGTTTTTTATTCTTATTTTAGCTACATTTTTGTCAAAGCAAACAACTTTTAGTAATGATTTTGTTCGTACAGTAATAAAGGTATCAAAAATTACATAAATATATATATAGTTCGATAATAAAGAATGTGTTTATAGTAATGTCATTATTTGTAGTATGATTCAATCTTGGAAAACCACAACAAATACAATTCTCAAAATGCTAGAAATAAAACTTTTCAAGGTGGCCCAACTTTAGCCTATGTGACTCCTTGGAATAATCATGGTGCGTAAAAATTAATATAATAAACCAAACATTTCTTTAACTTTTCCAAATTATTCGCTAGGTTATGATATTGCCAAAATTTTTAAGGGTAAATTCGACTAGTAAGTACATCTAACTCGCTCATGAAAAAAACTTTTTTTTTTTTAGACACCGTTTTTGTTAAATTTTTCGATTTGTATGCTTAGTGTAAGCCCTGTTTGGTATAATATCTATCGAAGGTACTGCATGCATGCATAAATAAAGACTTTTACTGAATTTATTTAGATAATTGATAAAGTTACAATATCATTTTTTTAGGTCAACGAATCAATATGAGCTTACCGGTGGTCATGATGTTGATCATAATTGGATTAAAGAAATTAGTGAGGGACGTCATGTTAAAGTGGTACCAAGATTTCAATTTCAAGATTGGACTCAAATAGATTATCAAATGTTGATAACAGAATTAAATGAAATTGATTCTCTTGTAAATACTTTAAGCTTAGAATGCAGGTACTTAGAATAAAAAATATTTGATTTTTTAAATTTTTAAATTTAAAATTTGTTTATTTCTCAAAGAAAACAAGGTTTTGGTGGCTTGGTTCTTGAAGCTAGCTATATTATACTTTTAAGAAATTTTGTGATGAAATTAGGTGCTAAATTACATGATCAATCTCAGGAATTAATTTTAGTATTATCTCCAAGAAAGCCTTCAATACCTTACTTCACGGCTGATCAATTTGATGATTTTAGTCAATTTGTTGATGGTTTCTCTCTTATGACCTATGATTATTCTTCTCACGAAACGTATGTCAATTAATTAGTTGGTTAATTACCATTTTAACTTTACCATTCCAACTTTACTACCATTCCAACTTTTCCTAGTCCAGGTCCAAATGCACCAATTAATTGGGTAGAAGATAATATATTATCTTTTACTCCAACAACGATGAATCGTGGTAAATTATTACTCGGGATGAATATGTATGGTATGGACTTTTCTCAAGGACGTGCTGAACATATTACTGGTAACACAATAATTAAAATCATACGTCAACATAAACCTATAATTGAGTGGAACGAAAATTTGGGTGAACATTATTTTCAGTATCAAGAGAATGGATTATCTCATACTGTATGGTATCCATCCTTGAAGGTAAAGATATTTAACGCTCTTTTATATATTAAATCTCTTATTATCTTACCTTCTTAAACATAACACATATATAATGATTCTTAGTCTATTGAATCTCGTCTTCAATTAGCTGAAGATTATGATACTGGCTTGTCTATTTGGGAAATAGGGCAAGGCTTGGACTATTTTGTGAGTACTAATTTATTCCTATATTTTTTTAAAAAAGTCTTTTGTTGTGATCAATTCATTAATATCACGACTTCACAAATGGGCTAATACTCTTTCTCCTTTTAATTTAGTATGATTTGTTATGAAGTTTAAAACAACACTGAAAAAAAAAAACAATTGCGATTGAAAAAGGTGCTCTCAAAATTAAAATTGTAAAATTAATCAACCGTTCAGATTTACGTTTAGTATATTTATAATTGTTAAACAAAACATCGATATGAAAAAAAAAAACAAAAAGGGCAAAAAGGGTAAAATTACTAAATAAATAAAAATTGTTCATATTACATATATTTTATGCTACCAATAATATTCGGTGGTTTAAAAAAATAAGACCTGTTGATTAATTTATCTATTACTATTAATGCTAATAAATAGATATTAACAATTATTGTATAAATTTTTTTCAATCGTTACGACCAAGTCTGTATGATAAATAAAGTTAATGTAAGATAATGTAAAATACATCAAAACTCATCACAGCCTTATGAAATTATTACCTGTACAAATTCTCCTGTTTCACCTGCATATCATCAATTTCAGGAACAAGTTCATTAAGTATCTGGTACGCTTGTTCGTAGAAAGTCAATTGTGCATTGACTAAATCCGAAAGATTTCTAAGCGGTTCGGGCTATAAAAAAAACTCGGTCATGTCTCAATATATCTCAATATATCTCAATAAAGTTATAAACTAAATTAATAAGTATATTAAAATTTACGTTACCGTTTCTATTACTTGCTTCATCAACGTAGTAGCTTCTTCAACAGCAGCAACAAACTGATCCTCAGCTTGTTCGACTTCCAATCTGACAGCCTCGATTCTATCTTGGCGAACATTCTTAAACTTATTTTTCGCTGCATCAAGAGACACGCGTGCAGACTTAACACTAGCCCTGGCTTTATTAGCGCTTTGAATTTGGGTGTGTAAAGTTGCATTAAAAGGTTGATGAAATTTTAGCAAAACTTCAGAATCCATTTTAAATCGATGTTCTCCGAGCCGATCTTGTGCAACAGAGTATTTTTTTAAGGCAGTCCCAAGGGCATCATCATCATCAAGAAGTAATGAACCTTCTTCTGCGGCGCGTGCTAATGCATGGTGTAAATTTTTTGGTTGAGTTGACGCAGCTGAAGGTTCTGGTGCTTCCTGAGTACCATTATCAGTTCGTTCTGCTGGACTTTGTGCAATATATTTTAACTGATCGAAAAAAGTGGTTGAAAAATCTACAACTGATTGTCGAATTTGGTCTGGATAATCGTAAGAAGGATTCGCATAAATACGTGTTACATTGAGAAGTTTCCTGTGAACCTTCTCTAAGGCGTCAACGCGCTATTAAAGGGATTACTTATAGTGAGCCGAGAATGAAATAATCGTATCGATCCAAAATAAATAATTTATTTACTTTTTCAAGATCTATATATTCTGGCGGAAGACCTGTTATGTCGTCCGCATTACCGAATCTTTCCCGTGTAATCTATATATACATTGAAATAAAAAGATGAAAAGATTACATTTAACTCCGCAGTTCTTATAATCCTAGGGTTCGAGCATATTACCTGCTGAAGGTTGGAGAGACTTTTACCCATTTTGCCAAAATTTAGTGGTAGACTCATTGTGCGTTCTTTCAAGCTTGATACGAGAATGAGTAATTTAAAATTTCGAACTTAAATATATATGTTGTGCCCCAAATGAAAATCGGCCCAGTTGTCAATTGGGCTAGCCCAGATGACAATTTGAATTTG